ACATAATATTCACTCTGCGCCGATCTTTCCGAGGGTAGAACCAAAGAGTCTACATAACAAGAGGGGCCACTCCTCTCTTTGAGCCAATTAAAAAAGTGTCCTCAAAATTCGGTGGCGCCCTCTTCGCAAATGCGCACAGAGTTACGAAACAAGCCGCCACCGATCCCGCAGATTGGCGCAGAGAATAGGCCGTGTCTCTGTGCATTTGTAGAAATTGTATAGATGGATTCCTATAACTTACGGCGCCTAGTGGTTAGGAGACAAAAATCGGCCGCCTTCGTGTTCTCCCTCTAATGAACGACCCTGATCGGGATCCTTAACGAATGGGGCGTTCTTGTAGTTTACTTCGTTTGCATAGGCATGCTCATAGAGTTAACTCCTTTTAAACTAGTGTACATCTATGGGCGTGTTTCATAACTCTCCTTCCACTCCATGCGCGAAGTCTTATCGGTGACGGAAGTTGTATTCCGACACCGTGCTCCTTAAAAAAAATAAATGCAATGTTTTCAGGGTGCGTTAAAACCAGCCCTATGGCCGCTATTGGTGAACGTTTAACAAAAAAGTCCCTGCCATAAATAAAGCTTCTATACGTAAGCCAGGGGCTGCTCGTGGGGCTTAAAAGTTGGCGTGCACAATTAAGCTATCTTATTCTTAGGCTGAAGATAGTCAATGGCATTGTAAATGGAATGGTGTTTAATTTTAGGATCTTTTGGTTGGTGAGGGAGAACTTAGTGCTTTTATTTTCATTCTTTTTACTTGTCGCTTTGATTTCTAGAACTAGATCTAAATCTGTTTGTTACTTAAACATCAATTTCGTTCATCCTGCGTCGGAACTGAACACTCAAGTAATAACTTTCACCACTCCACTTCCAAACCATTCAAAGACACAACTCATAGGGTGGTATCTTAAGTATGCCACGTTCACCTCCCTCAGGTTCACGGTCACAGAGTCGCTTAAAATAGTGGCAAGACAATGAACCAATCACAGTTCAATTGAGCACTCCACCGGATTGCTCCGGGGATCACATAATTTTGGCATTGAATAGTGTACAGGCTATCGCGTTTATTTTTAGACTCCCTGCGGTGGGCTTTGTTTCGTGGGTGCACATTTGAGATGTGCCGTCTTATTAATGTTAATGTACCGCCAAAGTCGCTACGAGTGTCGTCTTCGCTGGGGTTATCCCAAATAGCGATTTATAGGCCAGACAGCCTCTGTTGAATATTCTATTACGTTTAGTTTAAGCGCGTGGACTTTGGCATGGCATAGTAGTTGTTTTAGGGCGCTTTTGACACAGAAATGACAGTTACAGCTCCAGCGAGGACCTTGTTTTGATATTATTGGCTAGTGTCTGTTTCTGACTTCTTTTATTTCATGTTTGTGTGTGCTTTTCGTAATAGAACTTTCAAAAAATTTGGGCGGCACTGCACGACCGTGCTCTATGGACGAACCGCGCCTGAAAGAGACATTAAGACAAAAGCAGTTAGCGATGGATATCTTTCAGGGAAAACCTTAACAGCTAAAAAAAAAATTTCTGCTTATAACTCTATGAAACTTTCTTTGAACCCAATTGAATTAACAGCAATATTTTAAAAACCGTTTTGAAAGCTCACAAACACTACCTACCATTCGATATCCCTTTGGACCACGAGAGAGAAAACTCAAATTAAAGGAAGAAAAAAATTCGAAAGTGACCTGGCTATTTCATAGAAAGAATATCCTTACTGGAATGTTGTTGTTTTTTAAAGCGACATGAACACTTACACACCGGAGTAACTCTGTTCAAATTAAGCAGGTTGAAAGTTAATTGGCACCATACTGAACTTTTTTGTTCGTCCTTCGCATATGAAGATGACAATGACTTCACAAATCGGTCTGTTGACGGTGACTGTGGGTCCGGAAATGGCTGATTAGTCCTATCCGGGCTCGGAAGGTTCGCCCACATTGTGGGCACAGGTAGTCCTCTGTTGGACTTGTGGTGGAGGCAGGTCTAGACTGGCGCACGTTGCGTTTTTGTTCGGCCTCGGCGATTCGCTTGGCTTCTGCTGCTTTGGCTCCCTTCATTAGCTTTCAGCGCCATGCGGGACGATCCAGGGCCAGCGTTTCCCTCGAGTCGCTCAGGATTCCAAGTTCTTTTAGAGAGACTTTGAGGCAGTCCCTGAAACGTTTTTTTCTGCCCTCCAACTGAGCGCTAGCCATGGAGCAGCTCTCCATACGTCAACTGTTTTGGCGACCGGCTGTCCGCCATTCGGATCACGTGGCCGGCCCAACTGGCTCTCGTTTTGTGGAGGATGGTGTAGATGCTGGGGGTTCCGGCTCGCTCTAAAGGGGCTTTGAGAGATTCTTCCCCATTCCAACTACGAAAAAGCCAGACTTGGTGTTATGGGAGGAAAAAGACAAAGAGGTGCACTTGGTAGAGCTCATGGTGCCCCACGAGGACAATATTTATGCCGCACATGAGCGGAAAGAAAACCGTTACGAGGCATTCGTCGAACAATGTGAGGAGGCAGGATGGAAAGCAACCCATTTTCCGGTAGAGGTAGGATGCAGAGGTTTCGTAGCAACAAGCACCCGTAAGTGGATGAGAGTGGCAGGACTTTCTGAAAAGAAAAGCAACGAACTCCCAAACTCCCTTCAGGAGACAGCAGAGAAAGCCAGTCACTGGCCACTGGATCTGGATGAAGCGAGAGGACGCAGGCTGGAATGAATCCTAAAAGTTGGCAGCAGAGGAAAACAGTCGAACTAGCATGGAGACCTCACATCGGTGAGGGGGCTCAGTGCGTCAGAAAAGCTGTAGAGAGGAAGAGCCCGAAACAGCGACGCATCCTCTCCTGATGATCTCTACGCTAGAGTCCGGGATACGGAGCGTTTGGCTGTGAGTGTGAGCAGTGCATACTGTTGTTAAGACTACGTGGGGCTTTGTCTTGCCATCGGATGCGGAGGATTTTACGAAGACAGCTCAGGTGGAATCGATTGAGCTGCTTGGCATGTCTGCTGTAGACAGTCCAGGTCTCGCTGGCATAGAGAAGAATGGAAAGAACCACTACCCGGTAGACCTTCAGCTTTGTGGAGAGGCTGAGTCCTCTGCACTCCCAGACATTCTTGCGGAGCCTCCCAAAGGCGACGCTGGCCTTGGCAACTCTGGTGTTAATTTCAGCATCTATATGTACGGCACGTGAAAGTGTGCCGCCTAGGTAGGTAAAGTGGTCAGCTGCCTGGAGTTTCTGTCCCTTCACCATGATTTGTGGCACTGTGTATGGTTGTCCAGGGGCTGGTTGGTACATGACTTCGGTTTTCTTGGTGTTGATGGTGATGCCGAAGTTGTTACAGGCTAATGCGAAACAGTTCATTTCGTTTTGCACACACCCTTCTGTGCTAGCTTTGAGTGCAGTCATCGGCGAAGAGAAGTTCCCTGATGACTCTTTCTTTCACCTTGGTGGCGGCCAGGAAGCGCCTGATGTTTAACAGCCTGCCGTCAGTTCTGTACCTGATACGGATGCCAGCTTCACTGATGTGGAAGGCATCAGTTAGCATAGCGGAGAATACCATGCTGAAAAGAGTTGGGGCAAGGGCGCAACCTTGTTTAACGCCGTTGGTCATAGGGAAGGTGTCTGACTCACCTCCGTCCCCTAGGCTAACACCTTCACCATCATACCATCGTGAAGCTGTCTGACGATGGTGATGAATTTACTTGGACATCCATACTTCTCCATGATCCGCCATAGTCCTTCTCTGCTGACAGTGTCGAATGCCTTCGTTAGATCCACAAAGGTCACGAGTAAGTCGCAGTGTTGCTCCTGGCATTTTTCCTGGAGTTGGCGGGCGGCGAAGATAATGTCTACAGTTCCTCGTTTGGCCCGGAAACCGTACTGAGTCTCTGGGAGGAGTCCCTGTTCCAGATGATGGAGAGGCGGTTAAGTAGGACCAGAGAGTTTACAGGTAGGACGCGGGCCAGAATCTTGCCGGCTTTAGACAGGAGTGAAATTCCCCGGTGATTAATATGGAACACTCTCGCTCAAACCCCAGGCCGACCGTTCTTGGATTTCTTGAACCTAAAACTTTATGCAAGATCAGTGGGGAAGATCAGGTTAAAGTGGAAAGGAAAACAGAAAACTGAGAATTGCTTTCTTTGATTAAGGGAAATTTATCGGCGCAAACCATAGATGTACACTATAGGTATAAAAGTAGACAACTGTATGGCGCAAACAGTAAAACATTTTCGAGGACAAGGGAGATAACTGCAAAAATAACTCTTCATACACAGTCATTGAAATGAGTTCCCCTTGAAGTAAACGACATTTCTGTCTCTGTAGCTGTAGCTGTAGCTCTGACTGGAGTTATAATTTCTTATACTAGATCTTGATGTAGGTCTAGATATCTATACTTAACATGTTTTTTTTTGTGCATTTAACATGATTTTTGCTTATAATCCTTATCCAAGAATGAGACCCTAGCATTTCACAAATGGAAAGTAGATCTAACGGGTTTTATTTTTGAGACAAAAAAGTGCTCACATGTAGCCTACGTCCTGTAGTTTATTTACATGTTCACTGTTTTCCTAAATTAAAGAGTGACCACTTCATCAACTCTGGAAACAACAAACTGCTACTTTAAAAAAAAAAGAACATTTCGATTCAATCTTTGTAGGCCTATCTGAATGAGTATGTTGTGCATAATTATTCACCCGATAAATCTAACTGGAGGTTAAATCTAAAAAAATGCGAACTCATAGGAATCAAAAACTTGGTCGGGTTTTTTTTTTTTTAAATTGTGGCTATGAACTTCACGACCACCTGTTTAGATCTGGTTTTAAATGTTTTGAGATTACGATAATTAAAAGTAGGTGAGTGAGAAGATAACTATGAATTGCTCTTGACCCACTGTAATCGTTATTTGAAAAGTGAAATGTAAGCAACAATGCGAAATTATTCAATATTTATTTTGTTCACGAAAGCAAATATTTAATGTAACTTCCATTTTTGGAGATTCTACACTACCACGCATGCGCAGAAGCCAATTTCCTTTTCCGCGTGTGTCAGGGCGTTTACTTCCACCCCCTTTTTTCCTGTATCGGGTTCAAGGAAATTGATGAGTATATTGATCGACGCTGCTCAAGTACAATAAAAGTAAGGAATTTACCAACAGTGTGATGTTTATCGGATAACTTAGTTTTATTAATTTCCCCTTTTAACTCACAATTAATGCTCTCTGTTAACTTTCGAACGTATCCCGATGTGAGGATCGAGTAGCCGGGTGATTCATCGGTGTGTTGTACGACGGACGGCTTTTCCGGAATCTCTCTCATTGTTAGATATCTGTGTCAGCTGTAAGGTGCAGATTTAATTTTGTTACCGAAAACAAAGAACGAATCGTACCACTGTAACCAGGACTCTTTTTGTTATATTGTCAAAGCTTATACCCCTCTAATGAATAAGTCTTTTACCGCTTTTTGCTGTCACCAACTCACTACTCCCCTCAGTCTCAAAGTAAGTGTAGGAGGCCTAGATCTATATGTCCTGGTGTAGTAAAGAGTTTCTCACTGCTGTCTTTCTTCCTTGTTCATCATCATGCTTTCATTTGGTGTGTTAGAAGTTGTTTTGGGAGTATTTATGCCAAATTCTAGATCTAGATCTAGATTTAGATCTAGGCTAGATTCTAGACTCTAGAATCCAGATTATAAATAGAGAATCTAAATCTACATCTAAATCTAGATCTAGAGATCTAGATCTTGATATATCTAGAATCTAGATCTAGATTCTAGATCTAGATCTAGATCTAGATCTAGATCTAGATTAGATCTAGATCTAGATCTAGTATCTAGATTCTAGATCTAGAAAATCTAGATCTAGATCTAGATATCTAATCTAGACTAGATCTAATTTGTAAAAAAGGGAAACTTTTTAGTTGTAGAGTCTAGCCGTACCTAGAATCTAGATCTAGATCTAGATCTAGATCTAGAGTTCTACAGGCCTATCTATCTGCCCAGATGTTAATAGATTTAATTGCCCTCATCATGCCTATCTCTGCTTTATCTGTCACCTCAATTTTTTTATTATTTTGTGCTCGGTTTGGTTCTTTATTCTCATAATTATCTGGAAGGCTGTGGACTCTTGTGCTTGATTCAATGACCCACTCTTCATGAAGGATTAGAAACGTTAGAAAAGTGGTAGATCTAGGCCTATTCTAATTTTCTTTTTCAAATCGAGTGTCGTCATATTCATGATTCATATGAAATGGATGAAAAGAAATTATGTTTTTATTCCGGTCAATTTACGAAAGAAAGCTGATTGATATTTGCAGCACAATCGAGCTCCTTCCAGCATATACGGCATAGAGGGCCTCTATACTAATAATTTTTCTCTTGTCCGTCAAGTTCTTAACTTGCTTTTGTTCTGTCTATGACATGAAATTATTATTGAAAGGAGAAAGGAGTTTTGTGGCAACTAAGTCAACTTATGGGAACTCATATATATATATTCTCTCTGTCCACCACTTGTAGCTGTGCCCCTACCTCAACAATTTAGGTCTATCCCCATTCTTGCCCCACATTTTGGACCTTTCTCATGCCACAAACACCATCCCATTCCTCTCTCCTTGTCATGATCTGTGACTCAAACGGTATCCTTTTTGACATGTGATGACCTGACCCCTTACTTATACCTGAACCCACTTCCCCTAATTCTTTCTTCCTGCACCATTTAAACCACACCCCCTCTGACTTAAAACCACACCCCCTTGGCTTGTAAAATTGCAAAAACCTACTTTAATGTCTGATTTTTATTTCTGATCCTGTTTCTTTTTGAATATTTAAAGTTTGGTGTTTGCAGTAAATTAAAGCTATGGGATACTATACTTTTACAAATTGTCCTTATATAGTTAACAGAGAGCTGTCTATCAGTCTAGACTTTTGGGGCCTAGTGGTTGTGGTGAAGGCTAGAGTTTGAACTCTTATACTCCTTTCTCCTCCATAAGTGTTCAGTTCAGTTGTAGAAATTGTAGTCAGTCTTGCATGTGTCCCAAGTGATGGTGTAATGCTCACTTTTATGAAGTATTTACTGCAGAAAATGCCCTTGCTTTGTTATTCGACCTAACTCATTGTGGTGAAGATTGCTGTAGATGTACTGGGTATTAATTGACTTTCAGACTTGTTTTAAGGATACTATAAATGCATTTGAATGGTCATAGTTTTTTCTTTTAATTTGGTAAGTGTTTTACGGTGCTCGCAACTGCATAAAAGTTCATATGAGTGTGCTGGACACATTAAACTTTTCCAGGTGGTAGAAAATTTTGAATTTTGCCCGGGTGGCGGCCGAAGCCTACTTTTATTGATTTTAGACTACCAAAGGATCTTGCACACAAGTCCTCCGAGATTTTTCGTCCTTGTTCGAGAAGGCTAGCTGTAGGTATTTCTTACCAGAAGATCAAGGGTGTGGCTGAAAGACAGCAGTAAGAAGGAGCCAAGGAGTAGCAGTAGAAAGGCTGCAGAAAGTCAGGAGCCCAGTGGAGGGGGCAAAGGAGGTGAGGGGGTGGGGGAAGAAAAAGGAGATGAAAGCAGATGACAGAACGTTGCTAGAGAGCAGAAAAGCAGGAGAAAGGAGACAATTTCAGAGAAGAAAATGTTTTGGTTGCTACCCGAATTCGAAACCGGGACCTTTGAATGAGAAGCCAACGCCTTAACCTTTGGCTATGAGAGCCCCTGCTCAGAGTTGAGGTAATGGAATCAGTACAAATGTAACTTCACAACACTGCCATATTAATGTGAGTTGAAACCTTCCCAGATATTATAATTTCTTTGTAGGCAGGAAAGAGGAAGACAGGCACTCATTGTTAGAAGAAAATGGCTGTCTAAGGCTCCAAAGCAGGACTTATTAAAATGAAGAACAAAACAAATCATATATTTCTTACGTCCCAACTGGAGGTGGTTGTAGACAGAGGACTGCCGTAAGGCCTGTTAAAATTAGGATGGTTTTTTTTCCTTTTTTGGAGGGAGGTTTCGTGGGTGCTGTAAGTGTTGAATTCTGCGAAGTGTTTCAGTTGAGGAAGACAGTTTGCAGGGAGAGGGTAACAAAATGAAATCTGCTAGATGAGGAAGACCGAATTCCATGATAAAACTAATGGGTCGCCATAACTCCATAAATGAGCTACACCTCTAGCAAGTTCATGTTGACGTCCATTGTCAGTGACTGGGTAAAGAGAGCGACTTCTCATCTCATTTACTGTGTTGGTCAGAGCTGTGGACAGTGCTACTAGATTGTGGGAGCTCACAAGCCTTCCTCACTAGCAGCTGAGAATTTGTTACTGACTGGTCAACTTGGGTGAAAGGGAATGGTTCATTAATTTGAGAGACTAACAGTAACGACGGTGAATGGATTATGATAGCTTGTCCATAGTGTCAGTAGTTGAATATAATCTTTATAATGTGTCTGGCGATGAGAAATCTACCTTTATCCAACTTAAACAGTTTTATATTTTTGGCTGTTGGTTGTTAAAATATACAGTCGAACCTGTGTAAGACGGAATCGCAAGGGAGCCAGAAAAAAAATTCCATCTTAGACAAGGTAATTTAGAGGGAGATGGAGAGGGGGGGGGGGGAGGTCCAAAGGGAATGCTTGTCTGATTGGCTAGCAGTGGTCAAAACTTCACACCTCAATTGCTATCCTGTGTGATAATGACATGCGTCAGTCTTACTGATCCAATTACCTCCAGTGCTTGGCTTTCACAGGATCACTGTTTGACCTATTAAAAACAGAAATGTTTGAACACCTCCTTTGCTTCCACCCTTAGCCACACCCTTCGTTGTAACAAGCAGGGTCTATCAATGCCACCCCTCACTGCCATCATGTAACAACGATTCAAGAAACTATTTTCTCTGCTGGCGGTACGATCAGGGCGGCAGGCATTGGTCAAACTAATTTTACACTTCTGGCTTCTGGCTACCCAGGAAAGTTTCGGTAGTGGCTCACTACTCGAGCACTCTCACGGGCAGTCGTGAGATTTCACACCCACTCCACCCTGACCATCTGCATCTCTCGGGGCTCACTTGATGGGGGTAACATCTACCCCCAAATTGCACCCCAACTCTCCATCTTTGCTCAACGGCATGACCATGGCGTTCAGTTTAGAGCCAGCGGAACCAAAGGTGCGAGTTTTGTTTGAAATCGGGGCTAAGTGGGCAAAGCATTTTCCATCATAGACAGATGAAACCCTCGGAAGGGAGCGGAACTTTCTTTCCGTTTCCGTGTTTAACAGGTTTCTGTTTTGAACATGTAATTAAAGAGGAATATATGAAGGGGGGAGCGGGGAGATTCCGTTAAGGCAGGTTCGACTGAAGTGGCTGTGTTCCGTTGGACAGATTATCGTTTTATGCTGTGCCATAACCAGAAAAATGAAAGGGGAAAGGGGGGGGTGGATGGAAAGTGGGCGTCATGGCAGGTTAGACCAAAGTACTCAAAGGTCATCCCGTTCTTATCATAGACTGCTTTCTGTATTGCATCTTTTTGAGAACAGAAAAAATACTGATTATTTGTTTTATTTTTGAGTTTAGCAAAATAAATGGTTTTGGTTCCTCTCTGTGAATTGTTCTTCAAAATAATTGTTTTTTTGGGTGTAATATTTCGTTTTAACTTTTAAGTTGCTGTTCCAGATTCATTGGTTAGCAAATTAGGAGATTTTTTTCGTGCTGGTTTAGGGTAATTGTTTCATCTTACTGCAGTCTTGTATGAAGGCAGAGACCCTCAATATCTTTCTTGAGTAAACACTGTATTTTTATTATTTTTCCTTTATTTTCATGCTGAGGAGGACCCATGAGTCCTGTCTTTTTCTTTGTATTTCATTCAGTGTGGTCGGCAGTCTATTTTCTTCAACTTCTGCTGTCCCCCTCTTTTTCTTGCCTTTTAATCCCCAGTGATCAGATATTATCTTTTGAGTGTTGTCCTAAGACTTGACCAATTCTTGTGGATGTGTATAGGTTGAGGGTTTCCCTCTTGGCTTCAGTATTTTTAATTCATGATGCCTCAAATGACTTGCTACCCACTGTGACTGCTTCTCTCCAAGTGGGTCCGTCATGAGCTAGGCTAAGCTGTCTCATTCACAATGTTTCATTTTCATAGTTTCATTTCAATAGGCTATCAAATCATATTGACAATTGGTCGCTTTTAAGCACAAGTGGGATATCCTGAAAAAATGCTGTTTTGAGAAAGTCTGAGGTAAAGTTTTTGAAACCCTGTTCAATTTCTTTAAAAGATAAGGAGAGTTTAATCTATCACCAAACAAATATACACACCAATGAAACCAAACTTCTCTTATACATAGGGCAATGCCTACTTTTGGTGTAGGTCAAGATTTCTGGAAACCCCCGAAATCTGGGTGTGCCCTCTTGTCCTTAAAAACGATCATATATAAAAAGTAAAAAGTGATCAGACAAGAAACAATTACATTAGTCACCCTTTAGCTACCAATGTTGCATCATAAACATTCACTCTCAAGTTTCTGGTTCACACTTGCCTCAAATCAATGTATGCCATTCAAACATGCATGCACACTCACACACACACACACACAGACACACACACACACACACACACACACACACACACACACACACACACACACACACACACACAGACACACACACACACACACAAACACACACACACACACACACACACACAAACATGCATTACATTTTAAAAAACCACGTAAACATCTCAATCTTCTCATGGGCATCAGTATCACTCATGGGTCATTATTTCGTCATAGCAGAAATAAGGGAAGCCAATGGGTTGGAGCTGAGTAGTGTCCATTGAAATCTGTATAAGAACTCGGACTGTTTAGTCTAAGAAACTGCCTTTTGTGTCTCTTGATGACCAGGATCTTAGTCAGAGACCACTGTACTTTATTATATGTTTTTGCAAGAATGAAACAAAGCAAAGACAAATAATTTATAAATCTTTCTTTTATGAAAAACAAATTGATAAGTATAGAATTTTTTGGCCCTGTGTTCAAGTCTTAAGTTGCTACCATTTTGAAGGGCATGTAAATAGATTTTGATATGTTGAGTAGTTTGCACAAATAAGTATTTGATACCAGTATTGTCCCTTGCATTTAAATGACATGATGGCAAGTCTCCTACTTGTTCTGGTGTAAGATTGAAGTGGCTCTTTCGCCACAGTGTGGAGGGGCAAGGTTAAGTACCAGTGTTACTCAAGAGCAGGACCAGGAAGTGGAAAATATCTGTCCTGGGTTCAGCCACTTGACTGTCTCGTTGAGTGGGCACGTTTGTTGTGTCAGGTTCTGACGTGCTCTACTTCTGTACAATAAAATTTCCATTGCCCTGCATGAGGTTATTGTGAGTCAACAGAGTGTTTGTTTGCTCTGTGTCTATGGGGGTAAAGATAAAGGGGGGTGGGGGGGTGTGTAATTAGTGAACTGATGGAGGAGAAGAAGGACTACTTATACTAATCTTTCTCCATTATAATTTGAAAGTTGTCATGGTTTCACAAGACAAAGATATTATTCTGATCACTTCTACAACTTCATTTTTAATTTTTATCGGTTTGTAGCTTTTGTTCAAGGTTCATGTACAAAAATTTAACGGAAAGATTTCTTGTTAGGAAATTTTGTTATTGATGGAGAATGATGCATGTGGTAAAGAAAAAGGATCTCTTATGTTTACTTTAGGGAGTCAGCATGTATTCAGTCTGATTTCTTTTCCCTTCTGCTCATCTGTCCTGAGACTGACTAGCTGGCAGTGAAAAAAACAAAAAACGACATGCATCGTTGAGATTTGTCTTTGTCTTTCTTTCTTTTTCACTTTTGTTTGTTCTTTTTTTTCCTTTATTTTTTCTACTTCATTAAAAAAGCGTTGTCAACAATTAGACTAATTTGTTGTGGTCTGCCCTAAGGATTTCTAAATGTACACCTTCAAATAAAATCATGAATGGCAATCTTCTTTATTGAGTGGTGATCCATTTTGCTGCATCATTTAAAGCTGAAAGCTCTTTAAAACAGTCACCTGTTGGTTGAGCTTATGGGTTATTGCTCAGGGGCGGAACAGGCCTGTCAGATGGAGATTATAGGTGCATGGTTTCTGACAGGAATATGTCTCGGCTATGTGGAGAAGATGACACCTGTTGTGGTGTTGTGTGAGTCATGACTTTTTAGACTATAAAGAAGAAAGAAGTGAACTCTTGCAGAGATGAATTCATGTTGTGGCTTGTTAAGATGTTTGTTTGTGCGTGTCTATGTGTGGTCATATGTATGTACATCTGTATGTGTGACAGGTGACATGTGACATATGTCTTCGAGGCTTAGTATTCCTAGACTGTGGATTGTTAAGATGTTACTGTGGTAATAAATGCTATGCATGCTGTATTGTCTGCTAAGGTTGTTCACTCCTGTGGACTCAGTGATCATATTTGTAAATGAAGTTTTCAAGTTTTTTGCTTTGTGTACCATAAATACACTTTTTCCTCCAAATAATAATCTTTATCGTCAGTACAGAAGTGCACAAAGATGAACACTCCTGCATCATAATGTGTTAGGAAGAAAGAGGGAACTTGTCAGCAGATAAAAAAAGTGTAAATTGCTGTCAGAAATACTATGTCAATGTTGAAATGAAAACTTTTATGTATATTGTATAATAACTTTGATAATAATTTATTCAAAGAAACCTCACCTGGAATTATGGTATAAAACAAGAGACTCATATTCTCACCAGTGGAGTCGTGCTTTGTTTCGGCTCTTTTCCTTGCTCTTAGACTTATTTTGAATCCCCTGTGGGGAAGATATTTTACCCAGCAACACTTTCCACTTGCATAATGTACCCCACCCAGTTGGCGATAGCCTGTACAGACAGGGTAAAAAATTGCCTGTCACCAAAACGATCTAAATATTCTTGATGGTAAGGTGATGCTTAGTAGATGTTGGCCTGTGGTTTGGCTTTTTCACTCTTTATTATTACTGTCATTACATTTTATTGTTACCATACACGCGGGGGTAAGAAGGTGTCACTGGTAGATCTTACTTCATTACCCTGGCCCCTGTTTTTTTGTTTTGTTTTTTGTCAGCATGTCTTGTTTCATAACCATCTCAAATCACTGTTTTTGTCAATTTGTGATTCTTCGTTTTACTCAACTTCAAGCCAAATGGCTGTTATAGTGTATATACTTTTCAACTTTCACTTATGACAGTTACCATGCTGACCTGTCGGTAAACTTGAGCTCAACTGTGCCCTGGACATTGCTGACAGTACTAAAATATGATTCAGCACTCACCTAAGGCGTCTTGCAATAGTTTCTGTAACTTTATTTTTGGCTTCCCCTACCCTTTCACAGGTTCAAATGCTGGCATAATTTCAGCTCATTTTCTTGTGCTGTGGCAGAATTTCCCCCTTGAAATATTGTTTAAAAATTTAATTTTTCTTCCTTTTTTATTTGCCATACTGTTTTTGAAACTCAGAAACAAATTTTATTCTCTTTTTTTAAAAAACAGATGGCGTTTATGAGAAAAAGCAAATTTCGACACGTCTTCGGACAGGCCCTGAAGAGAGACCAGTGTTACGATGGTGTTCGCATCACTCGCACGTCCTGGGAGTCCACGTACTGCGCGGTCAACACCAAGTTTGTGGCCATCATCACTGAGGCTGCTGGCGGTGGTTCTTTCCTGGTCCTTCCCATTGGCAAGGTAAATTTGGTTTTTTTTTTACCTCTCATGAGAAATATATAGAATGCAGTGAAACCTCGTTGTACCGCCCGTCGTTATACCTGCAGACCCGCTAACCACCATGTTTTGTCTATGTATGAAAAAGAGTGCCTATATAAACAAAGTTTTTACGTCTTTACACTGCCACCTGTCTGAGTTGAACGTTTAAAAAAAAATTAATATAAATTTGCTGTGCCATACCGCCAGTGAACTGACCACCAGAAGTACACACTGCACATGCCGACCACACCCACCAGTTGGCTATTTGATAAAATCCTTCTCCCATTAGAAACTCATAAAGATAGAGAGAAAGTAGACGCTTGGCTCTGAATACATGGCAGATATATATATATATATATATATATATATATATATATATATATATATATATATATATGTATATCACCAGCAAAGAGACATTTTTTAAACAAGGATCACCAGCAGAATCATGTCCCTTGATGTTCGGCAGTAGGGGTTGTGTAATAGAGGAACTCCGTTGAACTGCCAGCACAGCTGTTCCTTCAATTTCACAAGTGTTGTAGTATTTTGTGACAGTTTGAGTTATTTTGGTTATTGTTTGTGATGATGAGGACAGAAGATGAAAATGTTAAAGTTTTCTCATGCAGATATTTAAAATAAAGCAATTAAAGAAATAAAAGTCTCAGGTAACTCTTGACATGAATTCATATAACCTTTGAAGTATTGCATACTATTAGAAATTAGTGTAGCGTTTGTAAATTTATTTTTTAACCTTTTTCGATTTTTTTTCTGAAATACCCGTTCTTTGTAAAGCCAACATATTTTAATGATAGTTCTTGGATGAGCCTAATCTGTATGACATTATTTTATTAGATTGTATTATTCATACAGTTTCTTTCTCACTAATCAAATCAGGTAAATATAAAGAGTTTTATTAGGAGAATCAGATTTAAGCATTTAATGTGGAAAAAGTAAATTAAACTTCCAATTTCCTTACCTGTCTAGATTCTGTCTGAGGTTGTCTAGGGTGTCTGTCTTGTGAGGCATTATGGTATGTAGGAGGAACAGGGCGGGCTATCAGGGTAAATACTAGTAGCATGGGGTCCTCTTGTCTCCAGTTGTATGTTCTCTTGTTGACCTGACCTTAGGTGAAGGATTTTCTATTTTTAGACATTATCTGCTCCTTAGCTTTGCCTGCTTTGATTGTAGTGCTGGCTCAGTGTCTTATTCCTGATATACTGTCTTCCTTGGTGGGTGATTGGCGGGTGCTCTGGTGCGATTTGCTCCTTCTCTCCTATCAAACATCTAACCTCTTTATCTCTCCTCCTTTTTCTTTGCATGTTACTCTCTGTCACACATCTTATCTTTGGCACTTATTTGACCTATCTTTGTTACAAGTGTTGTAAAACTCTGACTAAAACTTTTAAGAAACCCTTGTCTTCTTTTACTGTGGCAATAGTTCTGCTTTTTTTTTGTACATGGGTGCTCTGGTGTGGTCTGCTCCTTTTACTTCTCTTTTTTTAAAACCATGGTTCTTGTCATGTTTCTTCTTGAAGTCTTCGTCTTACTAGTTTTGTGCTGACTGGCTGTGAATAAGCTAAACTCCTTCACTTAAAAAAAAATTAAAAAATTTGTGGGTTAGTTATTTGTGACATATTTCATGACAGTATAATTATTGGTCTTTACCAGCTTCTGTTGTGTAATGGTTAGATGTTTCGCCCTTGCATACTCCCCTCCTCCTTTGTATGTACTGTCAAGTAACACGTCCTCTAATCTTTGACACTTATAATATGACCTAATTGTGTTACAAATGCCATAAAACCCTCAGCAAAACTAAAAGTTCACTCTCCTGCGTTACAGCCCGGCCGCGTGAGCATCGACAACCCGATGGTGGCCGGCCACAGAGGGGCGGTCCTGGACGTGGCCTGGTGTCCGCACAACGACGAGGTCATCGCCAGCGCATCGGAGGACTGCACCATCAAGCTGTGGCAGATACCGGAAGAGGGGCTCACCGCCAACCTGGAGGAGCCCGTGGTGGACCTGGTGGCCCATCAACGTCGTGTCACCATGCTGGTCTGGCACCCGACCGCCATGAACGTGCTGCTCAGTGGCAGTAAGTGTGGGGGTCTGGAAGGGCTCGTTTTTTTCCCCCCAAGTTATATTCTACCTCTAGTAATACTTAATTATGTTTCTGTGAGAGAAATTGTCCTATGTCCTATAAGGACATCAAGGCCCCATCACCATGCTGGTCTGGCACCCGACCGCCATGAACGTGCTGCTCAGTGGCAGTAAGTAGCCTTTGTGGGTCTGGAAGGGTTTGTTTTAGTCAAGCTGTATACAATTTCTAGTAATACTTTGAAATATTTATTTGAGAGGAATTGTTCTATCTATAATGTCCTTTAAGGATATCAACACCCACGATGCTGGTCTGGCACCCGACTGCCATGAACATGCTGTTCAGTGGCAGTAAGTAGCCTTTGTGGGTCTGGAAGGGTTTGTTTTTGTCAAGTTGTGTACAATTTATAGTAGTACTTTAAGCAGTTGTGGTTACCTGACTTCGAGTTGGGAAAGTAAAGGCGACGTGGAACGGAACTGGCCACCCTACCACAATATGCCGAAGGCCCAGAAAGTTGCCTCACTAACAAGGCAATCCCCAGTGTCCGGATCGGATGCGGAAACAACTTTACTTTTTTTTTTTTTACTTTAAGCATTTTTCTGTAAGAGAAAGAGAGGGTTCTTTGAGGATGTGCTGATGCAGCACCAAGCCACCGCTGCTCAGAGGCAGTAAGTGTGGGAGCTCAGATGGGTTCACTTTTTTTTCATGTTATAAACTATAATCCAGCTATACTTTAAAACGTTTTTCTGTAAGAGAAATAGAGGGTCCTGTACTCTTATAATATTCTGGTGTGGCACCCGACCGCTATGAACATACTATTTAGGACCCGTAATTGTGTGGGTCCTGAGGGTTGGGCTCACTTTTGTGAAGTTATATTCTAGATAAAGTAATATTTTTAAAGCTGCTCTGTAAGAAAGAGAAGGAAGTCCGTGATTGTGTTGCTTAGCGGCAGTTAATTTATGAGCTTGAACGGGCATGTTTTTGTCTAGTTGTGTTCAAGTTGTGATAAGTTCAGAGATAAAATCCTATACCTGTGCTAGAGAGCAACTGTCTTATGTGTGGCTCTTATTTGATATGGAGTGTTTGGTGGTACAGTAGTGGACTTTCTATGTCCCAAGGTTTGCTCAACGGAGAAAGAAATGCAGTTGTGAGGGCCGTAAAACACTTACTAAAATTTTTTTTAAAAGGAGAAAGGGAGAGGGGAAGCAAGGTGCATTGCTTTAAAAAGTGTTGGTTTCATTTTTTATCCAAGTTGTATTGGTGCATTGCTTTAAATAGTGTTGATGACAAATAATTTGAGGGAGAGGGGACAGGGTAGAAGAATATGTCATATGGAAAAACCCAAAACTCCGACCTTACTCACAAGTCAAGTGTGTACATTGTACATGGATGCTTGTCAAACAGTTACAAGTGTCATGTGACTCAGTTGTCCAAGTACATTGTTTTCACTTTCTGTTCTGGGAGAGAGTCGTTGGAGGGTGCCACTAATAGGTCTTCTACTACTTTTCTTTCCTTCTGTTTTCCGTCCTTCTTCTCATTTCTGTCTTTTTTTCTTGCTTTTTCCCTATTTAAAATGGCATTTATTATGCTCATGTGCTCTTTACTCAAACTAAAAGTTTGGGGGATGTACAGTTATCTGAGTTGATATCAGCGAATGCCCAATGGGGATGTCTTGAACACTTAGTTTTGAAGGACTTTTCAAGGCATCACAGGTGTCAGGTGGGGAGAATTTTTATCTAGTACCTTGGTTTTTCTGATGGGTTGTCGATTCCCTCTCAACTTGGTTTGGCCCGTGGAAGCCCACCTCCTATATGATCTCATGAAAAACACTCATTTTTTATTTCTACCCCCCCCCTCAAAAAAATTTTAAAAAAGAAAAAGAAAACCAACAAAACTAAACAAACTCAAACCAAACCAACTTTGTGGGTGGTTGGCGGGAGCTCTGGTGTGATTTGCTCTTTCTTTTTGATCAAATATTCTGTCATCCTTATCTGTCCTTTTTTGTGTTCGTTAGTTTCTTGTAACACCTCTAATCTATAGCACTTATATGACCTAAATGTGTTGCAAATGCCATAAAATGCTTACTTAAAACATAAACATTCACTTTTATTTATACAAATGCTATCTATTATTATCTAAGATTATTTTATTAAAACACCAAACCCCCCCCCATATCAAACCAACAAACCAACTTTGTTGTCCCCCTTCCCTGATGTCCAGGCTCAGATAATACCTGCATCCTGTGGAACGTTGGCACGTGTGAGCCCAAGCTCCAGATCGACATGCCCGACCAGATCTACTCGGGCTCCTTCAACCTGGACGGCAGCCGCTTTGTCTGTACCTGCAAGGACAAGATCCTGCGTGTGCTGGACACTCACTCTGGGGAAGTGTTGCAGGTATGATGGCCTATTTTATCTGTCGATCTGATACTGGGTTTGTAAGGTGTAAAATGAATAACTCGAATTTGACCATACTTTACACGGGAAAGTGATATTTAAAAAAAAAGAAGTTACCTGGTTTTAATTTCTTTTTTTTCCACAGTGGTGATTTTATACGTTTTAGCTGCATTTTGGCTATGAAAGCTTTAGGAATAGATGAGAATTTAATTCTGCACTTTGTTTTTATAATCATAATGATAAATTTCACTTATACAGCCTATTTCCACTAAGAAAGGGCTCAGTGTGCTTTAAAATTAAACAAAGAATATGTGTACCATATGAATTCAATAGTGATTCTCTCTCTCTCTCTCTCTCTCTCTCTCTCTCTCTCTCTCTCTCTCTCTCTCTCTCTCACCCCACCCCCCTCCTTCCCAGTCGATTCTAAGACGGACGATAGCTCACCCCATTGATTAATTACGTTTGATACCCTGCCATTGTGTCGGCGAGTCCTAAGCGTAATGACCTCTCCTTGGGCCAAGCCCAGCTGACTGTACAGACTACAATACGTAACGCCAAGTGTGCTGCACAAGTGTCTTCCATAGAGTATTCATGCCTGCAGCCACGAGCTAGCGTGAAGGAACAAGGAAAGAGAAGAAACGAGAATGTTGTTTGGAGTGAGGTGTGTTTGTGTGTGTTTGTGTGTGTGTGTGTGTGTGTGTGTGTGT